ACGCAGAAGTCCAGCCTTTTGACATGTTGCAGGCCTGTCTGGCCGTCTTCACCGACCTAGATCAGGTTTGTGCTCGCTTTCTTACACACGCTCATACATATATACATTCACACACTCACACACACACACACTCACACACACACTCACACACACACTCACACACACACTCACACACACTCGTGACGTGTGGGGTCAACACAGAAGTCCAGCCTTTTGACATGTTGCAAGCCTCTCTGGCTGTCTTCACCGACCTCGACCAGGTTTGTGCTCGCTTTCTTACACACACTCATACATATACACATTTACACACACATACTCTCACACACTCACACACAGCCCGTGCACACACTCATAATATACGCACACACACTCTCACACACACACACAGCGCGTGCACACACTCATATATACATACACACACTCTCATACACACACACAGCACGTGCACACACTCATATATACATACACACACTCTCATACACACACACAGCACGCGCACACACTCATATATACATACACACACTCTCATACACACACACAGCACGTGCACACACTCGTATATACATACACACACTCTCATACACACACACAGCACGTGCACACACTCATATATACATACACACACTCACTCGCACTTACACAGCATGTGCACACACTGGCACACTCACACACACACATTCACACACCAACACACACTGGCACATACATACACACACACACACACACATTCACACACCCACACACACTCGCACATACACACACACACACATTCACACACCCACACACACACATTCACACACACACACACACATTCACACACCCACACACACTCGCACACACAGACATTCACACACCCACACACACTCACACACACTCGCACACACACACATTCACACACCCACACACACTTGCACACACACACATTCACACACCCACACACACTCGCACACACACACATTCACACACCCACACACACTCGCACACACACACATTCACACACCCACACATACTCGCACACAAACACACACATTCACACACCTACACACACTCGCACACAGCACATGCACACACTCCCAAAGACTGCATTTGTCGTTTCCTGATTGGGCTTCATTGTGAGTGGTTGGCGGGTGCTCTGGTGTGGTTTGCTCCTTCTTTCCTATCAAACATCTATCGTCCTTATCTTCCATTCTTCTTTTTTATGTTTGTTACTCTCCTGTAACGCCTCTAATCTTCTGGTGCTCGTATGACCTTATTGTGTTGCGAGTGCCGTAAAACTCTTTACTAAACTAAACTCTCCCTTCCCTTCCCTTCCCACAGATTTGTGTGCGGCCTCCGTTTGAGTACGGCGTTCTGGACGGGCTGTTGATGCTGCTCTGTGAACTGCTGGGTGGGGTGAGTGGGTGCAAACATTTCTTTGTCTACGCTGTTTTCAGAGGTGTGGGTGTGAGTGATTGGAGGGTGTCACTGGTAGGTCCTACTTCTCTTCTTTCTTTCTGTTGTTTCTGTCTATCTGTGTGGGTGGTTGGAGGGTGTCACTGGTAGGTCCTACTTCTTTACTTTCCCCTCTGATGTTTCTGTCTGTGTGGGTGGTTGGCGGGTGCTCTGGTGGGGTTTGCTTCTTCTTTCCTATCAAACATATGTTGTCCTTATCTCCCCTCCTTCTCTTTTATGTATGTTACTCTCTTGTAACATCTAATCTATTCTTCAGCATTTATATGACCTTATTGTGTTGCAAGTGCTGTAAAACTCTTCGTAAAACTAACTGTCTTGTTTTCTAAATGATAATAATAATAATTGCATTTATATAGCGCATATCCATGCTCAAGAGCATGCTCTATGCACTTTACAACTATTATTACCCCAGCAGACCCTCTGAGAGCACTCAGAAACATTCTCGGCTTCCACGGAAGCATACAGTGCAAGCTGCGGATTTCACGCGCTCAAACACTATCAAACTGATAAGATCGTTCACTGTCTATTGCCGGGTACCCATTTCCACCTGGGTGAAGTGAGGAAAATTCGTGTAAAGTGCCTTTCCCAAGGACGCAACGTCGGGCCCCTGACGAGATTGGAACCCACAACCTTACGGTTGCGAGTCCGAGAGCCTAACCACTAGGCCACCGACGCCACTGCGCTGTATGACCATAATTTTGTTGATGTGCTTCTCTGTACTCGTAACTCAAACTTTGGGTCTTTGTTTTTTTAACTGGGGAGTTTTTATGTTTCTAGTTTTTTAATGTTGAGATAAGCATGCGCACGTGTGTGTGTGTGTGTGTGTATGTATGTTTGTGTGTATGTGTGTACGTAGTGAAACACCAAACTAATGTGCCCTTTTCAGGACAATAATAAAGATTTATCTTGTCTTATCTTGTCACATACATACTGGAATACTTTGTTATTTTGCTCTCTCTTTTTTTGTTGTGATGTGTTGTGCTCTTTATCAGCACAACACATATTTGGTTGGCGGGTGCTCTGGTGTGGCTTGCTTCTTCTTTCCTATCAAACATCTATCGTCTTTATCTCCCCTCCTTCTGTTTTATGTTTGTTACCCTCTTGTAACACCTCTAATCTTAGGCACTTATATGACCTTATTGTGTTGCAAGTGCCGTAAAACTCTTACTAAAAGTAAAAACTCTACTAAAACTAAAATGTCTGTCTACTGAATGTCTGCTCTGTGGTTGAGATACGACCTACGACCTTTTTCCTTCCCAGGATTCCAACGACAAACGTGTTATACAGGTAGTCTGTTCGGTCAACCTGTTCTAACGGACACCTGTCCAAGACAGTCACCTGTACGAACCACCACTCCCCCCCCCTCCCCCGTTTTTTTTTTCTATATGTGAGGCAGCGTGGTGAAATCAGGCGCTCATCAAAATAATGAAATCGAAGAAAAGGCATTCTTCCAACAGTTTGGCAATTTTTTGCGAATTTTTGTTTTTTGGCTCAACACCTTTCATACCCATTAAAAACACATTTCTGCGTGGATTTTACTGAAAGTTGATTAAAGACTTAAAAGGTGTAAATTTTCCGTTTCCACAGACTCTGAAGCTAAGGAAATATATCAACTTTGGCGGCCATTTTGTTGCTTATTTTTTTACCTCTGAAACCAGACAACCCCACCTCCTTCAATTGCCAATTTCTTGACTTGTATTTAAGGCAAATGGATATTTTTTTCATCAAGAGTAAGATAAATGAACAAGCTTTTAGGTAACACAATTAATAACTCCACATGCCCAAAAATTGACGAGCGCCTGATTCCACCGCGTGGTGACAACATATCACAATGACAGTGGCCAAGAGATCCCCTTGTGTAAGACAACCCCGGACAATAGATGGTTGTCTTGGACAGTTTTGACCGTGTTTATCTGTGGCTGAGAAAAGTTTGGTTTGGCTTGCTGTTTCCGGTCACTTCCTTCCTTTTCCTTCCTTCCTTCCTTCCTTCCTTCCTTCCTTCACAGCTCGTCAGAATCCAACAATGTGGGCACCATGTTGCATTGTGTTTCTTTGTTGTTGGTTTTTTTTACATGTCGTAAGATTTCTATTTTTAGTTATTTTTGTCTCAAAGAATTGCCTGCTGGTATTGTTATGTTTTCATGCTAATGTTATGAATGTTATCGTTATTTTTTCTCACATTCCTGTAACATTTTGTTGCTGCACAGAGCAATTTGATCACTGTTTGGTTAGGGAGGAATGGAGAAATGACTACCCCCCCCCCCCCCACACACACACACACACACACCCCACCCCTTCAGGGCAGTGCTACTGACTGAAGTCGTTTTAGGCCTTTCCCAAAGGGGGGATATTATGAGTTGTAAATGGGCTGATTCATCAATGTCATGCTCATACTGTGCCTGAACTGCAACAGGGAAATGCTGCTTTTTCTTTCCTAATCCTTACTATCATCATTTTTCCTCTACTTCTTTTGTATGTTTGTCACTCTCTTGTGACCTGCTATCTCCAGGATGCCTTGATAGTCGAAGCAGACTTTGTGCTGTTGAGGCTAGAGAGGTGAGCAGAGTAAGCCTGATTCCCCGTTTGGACTTCTCTGTTGACATCCTCCCCTTGGCGCTCTTATGACCTTATGTAGTTGCGAGCGCCATAAACTAAAACTTTATTGAAGCTGAAATGCTAAAAAAAAACTATATGGGTGTGAAAACATGTACGCCTACAAATAAAGAAAAATTAACAGCTTGAACAATAAAACTACAGTGCCAGGATCTAGACAGACAATAAAGATCGTATCTTGTCTTATCTTGTCTTGTCTTGTCTTGTCTTATCTTATCTTATCTTGTCTTATCTTATCTGAAGATGGAAACATGACAAGTTTCTTGTTCTCTAGAGGTGGAATGCCCCATGTGAAGACTCACTGCTTGCTTACTGTGTTCATTAGAAATTTATGAATGTTTGCACCACTAGAATTCTGTACAGTGCAGTCTCTCTATAACAACATCGTTAGGACCAGAAAAAAATGTCGTTATAGAGAGTTGTCCGTATAGAGAGGCCCTCAAAAATATTACTAATGATATATATATATATATATATATATATATATATATATATATATATATATATATATATATATATATATATATATATATATATATATATTTATATATATAAAGGGAAAATTCAGGACCTGGGCACCATGTTGCTATACAGAGGATGTCGCTATATCAAAGGACGTTATAGAGAGGCTGCACTGTAGTTTTTTTCTGTTGTTCGTATTTTTTCTATCTAGTCAGATATTAGTACATACATGTAAACATCTAAGAAAAAGGGAGGGTTTGTTTAAGTTTTAGTTTTACAAAGAGTTTTACGGCTTTTGCAACACAAATAATGTCATATAAGTGCTGTAGATTAGAGGTGTTACAAGAGAGTATTATACGAAGAAAAGAAGGAAAGATAAGGACGATAATTGTTCATTAAGAGGAAAGAAGAAGGAAAGCACACCAGAGCACTCGCCAGTCACCCACAGGGGTGTTTTGAGAGTGACAGAAGGACAAAGGAAGGGGAAATAGGATTATGTGACCTACTTTGTTGTGAAGTTTCAAACTGTTTCTCCTTATGCAGTTGCGGGCGCCGTAAAAACACTTACCATAAAAACACACACAAAAAACTGTTTCTGAGAAGGTTTTTTCCTGGAATTAATTCCACTATTGTCGACTTACTTCTTTCAAACACAGAACTGAAATAGTGTATAGCCTGCCGTCTAAGTGATCGAAATTGTTTTTGATGGGGGCGTAAAAAAACTACATTAAAAAAAAAAGACAAAAAGACAACCAAAAACCCCCCCAAAACATGGAGTGTTGATATGGGAGTTAAAAATCTACATTAAAAAAAAGACAACAACAAAAAACATGGAGTGTTGATATGGGAGTTAAAAATCTACATTAAAAAAAAGACAACAACAAAAAACAAAAAAACATGGACTGTTGATGGGGCTGTAAAAAAATCTACATTTAAAAAAAAAGAAAAAAGACAACAGCAAAAAACAAAAAAACATGGAGTGTTGATATGGGAGTCAAAAAAACCCACCTAAATTTTAAAAGAATTAAATTTTTTTCTCTTTCCCCACAGGCCGAGAGTCCAGTGGCGAGCCTGTACATCGAGTCAGGAATCTGGGGCGCCATGTGGCACCGCATCGCACAGGGCACGCAGGTCCTGAATCCTGGCACGGACATGCCCATCCACGACATGGAGACTGGGATGTCCAGTGACGGAGTCCGCGCCTCTCACAAGTTCTCTGCCCCTGACTGGGGGCTCATCTCTCCGCAGGGGCTGATGGCCTCGCTACAGATGGCAGTCGCCGTGTTCACCAAGGTCAGGGTCACACGCACGACGTGTGCTTAGAAATAAAGTGTTAAATGTGGTGTTATAAAAGTATGCCGTCTTCTTTAACACTTTCCACTCATTCACACTGTCTTCTTAACCCTGTCCGTACGTCTTGGGGACATTTTGTACCCCCGGGGTTGTATTCCCCACATTTTAGAATACTTCTAGTACGAAGATCTCTTTGAAACTTTCAGTATTTCTCAAAAAAATCATTTTGACAGACTGCTATGCAAAGCGTACAGATCAGATTAAAGGGTAAATTTCCTGTTTGGAAAGTGGTGGCACAGAGTTCCCCACGTCGCATGGATACGATAGTAAAACACGACGTACGGATAGTGTTAATAAAGAAAATAATAGATGCAGGCGCTTCCTAAGATTATCATCATCAAATTCCAAACAGTTTCCCTTTTTCCTGTTTTGTTTTTTCTTGAAGCATAATTACTGCAATGTTGACATTTTTTATACATGTAACTTACAAATGGCTACCTCAGAGTTACAAAGCTCTATCTGCTCAGTGCCTAGAGTTACAAAGCTCTATCTGCTCAGTGCCTAGAGTTACAAAGCTCTATCTGCTCAGTGCCTAGAGTTACAAAGCTCTATCTGCTCAGTGCCTAGAGTTACAAAGCTCTATCTGCTCAGTGCCTAGAGTTACAAAGCTCTATCTGCTCAGTGCCTAGAGTTACAAAGCTCTATCTGCTTAGTACCTAGAGTTACAAAGCTCTGTCTGCTCAGTACCTAGAGTTACAAAGCTCTATCTGCTCAGTACCTAGAGTTACAAAGCTCTATCTGCTCAGTACCTAGAGTTACAAAGCTCTATCTGCTCAGTACCTAGAGTTACAAAGCTCTATCTGCTCAGTACTCAGTACCTAGAGTTACAAAGCTCTATCTGCTCAGTGCCTAGAGTTACAAAGCTCTATCTGCTCAGTGCCTAGAGTTACAAAGCTCTATCTGCTCAGTGCCTAGAGTTACAAAGCTCTATCTGCTCAGTGCCTAGAGTTACAAAGCTCTATCTGCTCAGTGCCTAGAGTTACAAAGCTCTATCTGCTCAGTGCCTAGAGTTACAAAGCTCTATCTGCTCAGTGCCTAGAGTTACAAAGCTCTATCTGCTCAGTACCTAGAGTTACAAAGCTCTATCTGCTCAGTGCCTAGAGTTACAAAGCTCTATCTGCTGAGTGCCTTGTTTTGAGAAATTTGACTTAAAAGATTTTTGAGTTTCACATCACGTCAAGCTTTTTCGGCTGCAATTCTTTGAATGTCTTGAAAACAATTTCGAGTATTCTTATTGTTTTGATAATACTGATAGAACATTAATTAGATTTTGATCTCATGGTTGGGTGGTTGGCGGGTGCTCTGGTGTGGTTTGCTTCTTCTTTCCTGTCAAACATCTATTGTCCTTATCTCCCCTTCTTCTTTTTTATGTTTGTTACTCTCTTGTAAAACCTCTAATCTTCTGGCGCTCATATGATCTTATGCAGTTGCGAGTGCCGTAAAACCTCTACTAAAACTAAACTAACAATTCCGAGTAATCTTATGGTTTTGATAATACTGATGGAACATTAAGATTTTGATCTCATGGTCTTAGAAACTCAACACTGCCAAAAATGTCAGATAGAACTTTGTAATTCTGAAGTAGCGAAATGTCTGGCATAATTGTAATTCTGAAGTAGCTAAATGTCTGGCATAATTGTAATTCTGAAGTAGCTAAATGTCTGGCATAATTGTAATTCTGAAGTAGCGAAATGTCTGGCATAATTGTAATTCTGAAGTAGCTAAATGTCTGGCATAATTGTAATTCTGAAGTAGCGAAATGTCTGGCATCAAATTAAGACACGGGACAAAAAAGCAAACAGCAATCTTGTTTTAGACGAGAGGATGTTTTTTTTTTCTCTCCAGGAAACATACCAATGCCTGCCCAACCTGGCCACATCTGACAGTATCTTGATGCTCACGCTGGTGCATTTCCTGCATCCCAGATTTTTAGAGGAGATCCATTCCCAGTAAGTCCATTGGCCAGTTTTTAAAAATTGTAATTCTATCTAGAGTAAGGTGATCGCGCATGTGGAAATGGCTCATGATTTGTCTGTTCCATGATTTGTCTGTTCCATGATTTGTCTGTTCCATGATTTGTCTGTTCCGTGATTTGTCCGTTCCATGATTTGTCCGTTTCATGATTTGTCCGTTCCATGATTTGTCTGTTCCATGATTTGTCCGTTCCATAATTTGTCTGTTCCATGATTTGTCCGTTCCATGATTTGTCCGTTCCATGATTTGTCTGTTCAGAGTGAGACATACTGACGACCTCTAGAACAAACGGTCTGCACATAATATGTGTGGGTGGTTGGCAGGTGCTCTGGTGTGGTTTGCTTCTTCTTTCCTATCAAGCATCTATCGTCCTTGTCTCCCCTTCTTCTTTTTTATATGTTTGTTACTCTCTTGTAACACCTCTAATCTTCTGGCGCTCATATGACCTTATGCAGTTGCGAGTGTCGTAAAACCTCTACTATAACTAAGTAACTAACATAATATGTGAGGTGGACTGACAAAATGAGTTACTTTGTTCGGATATTGGCGGTATGGAAATTGACACATCAACTTTCTAGTTGGAGTTTGTACAATTTGTAAGTATGGAACTGGTGTGGTTTGCTCCTTCTTTCCTATCAAACTCAAACATTTATCGTCCTGATCTCCCCTCCTTTGTTGTGTTGGTTACTCTCTTGTAACACATGGGTCCTTTCAGTGCTCGTTTTCTTGCTCTTCCTTTTGTAATGTTCGTAGGCCTACTTGTGCTCTTTGTTTCGTCTATCGCGATCCTCCGACAAAGTTCAGGGGTTGGGAAAATTTTTCACTGGGAGCCCTGAACACCTCTAATCTTTGACACTTATATGACCTGATTGTGTTTGCAAGTGCCGTAAAACTCTTACTAAAACTACTGAAAACTTGTGGTCTCAGTTTCCACGAAGAGGGAGATCAGCTGGTGGAAGACATCATCCTGGCCGTCACTCAGATGGGTTGCTTCCCCTTTGCCGTGGACACCACCGTGGAGCTGTTGGCTGAGGTTCAGCAGTGAGTCGCGTCTTGTTGGACCATCGTTTTGTTTGGGTTTTGTTTTGTCTCTGTTTTCCTTCAACGCTTTGTGGGTGGGTGGTTGGCGGGTGCAGTGGGTGCTCTGGTATGGTTTGCTCCTTCTTTCCTTTAAGAAATCCATCGTCTCTATTTCCCCTCCTTCTTTTTATGTTTGTTACTCTCTTGTACCACCTCTCATCTTCAGCACTTACTTATATGACCTTTTTGTGTTGCAAGTGCCGTAAAACTCTTACTAAAACTATAAAAAAGAACCCAAAAACGCTTTGCGGTCACTTGGTGCAATAATGCGACATTCACAAAGAGATTGAAATATAAATAGATGTATATATAAGGAGAACTATGTACATTATAAAAAAATCCTGACAATTTCAGAAATCCACGTGATGTGTTGATATGATACTACGTAGGTAATTGTGTTGCTGATAAAAACATACTGTTCATTTCTTCCTGTAGAGGACCAATAATGTGTATGTATTGATATTCATATTGTCTTGTAGAAATTTTTTCTTTCATTATAAATTGTAAGTTGTGTCTTCCTGTCATTTAGCTCCCTAAGTCATTTGTCTGTGTCTGTGTGTCCCTCGTTCATCCCTTTCAATCTCTCCTCCCCCTCCCCATCCCTTTCAATATCTCTCCTCTCCATC